TTACATTACTGTTTTAGTGCTGTCGCTGGTTTTCCAAGGACGAGCCATTGTTTCTAGCATTCAATAGCAGGTTGCTCTCGGCAAGGTGCTCGTCATTTTTTTCACTTAGTAACCAGGACCATGCCAGTAAAAATTCGACCAAGGTTAATTGGCAGGAACATAAAAAGAGAAAATATTTCATATTTCACGGCAACGAGCTAGGAAGTTTGCACTTGGGATTGGGACTGCGGAAACCCGAGCAGACACAAGGTGCAGCACAGTGGGATAATCCTGGCTAGAGGGTTGCGTAAGTGCTCACGGACACACACAAATCCAAAGGCGAGTGCTTGCGCCACCGTGTGCCCCTCGCTGCCGGAGCGTAAAAAATACACAAGAAAGTGGGAGTGGGAATGTAAAAAGATGCTCGAAATTATTCTTGGCATTTCCCACAAGACCAATAGAAGAAAATCGAATCCAAGTCACGAAGTGCCAGTGCCAGGGCCAGGAGCAGCGCAAGGACCCCAGTACCTGGCTCGGTTCCACTTTCCTGCCCTGCCCTGCTGTGCCCTGTGCATATCGTTTTTCTTTTCCCTGACTTTTTCCTTGGCGCAGCCTCAGCCACCGCGAGCAGCATTCTTAATCTCGTTTATGGCCTCGTACATCCTTGGCAGGGAACGCAGCCCCCAAAAAGCCGGGCGTGGTGGGAGGACCAGGGTCCTTCGTCCTGCGGCGCCGCTACAACGCCCATTACAATAAACAACTAGGCGCTGGCGACGCCATGACTGGGGCAGGAGCTGGAGACGCTCCACCCAGGGCCCGGCATACCGAACCGCGTATCGTGTTGGTATCTTCGGATGTCCTTTTGCCATTTCCGTTCGTTGGCAGCGGAGGGACGCGGGCGAGCACTTTTTTCGCCGCCTTATCCTTTTGGGATTTTGCGCCATTAACGTGAATTGCTTTTTGCCCAAATTATGTATGCCCCGAGCACGAACACGAACACGGCAGCAGAAGCTTTAATGTTTTGTAAATTCACATAAGGAAACCATTATCACCTGAAATATGAAAGCAATTTTCATGCATCCTTTCGGCTCAGCAGCGTTTTCCCGTTTTTTCCAATTCTTCTGCCCTTGGGTCGCCTATCTGGCTTGGGTGCTGTCCACGGACAAATCGAAGTGGTTTCAGCAGAAGTACTCAATAAACTGGGATCAATACCATTTTTTATGTTTCAAACCCATCTCCTGATAATATTCTAAAACTTAAGCTGGTTAAAGAATTAATTAGTTCTTCTGTACCTTTAGATATATTATTGAGAATAAATTTGAAAGAGACCTCACAGCATTGGGTGATATTTAAACTTTATTTTTCGCCTGAGAAAAGTTTTCATTTTTATATCGAATGCTCAACCACTTGATATGTAAAGGAAAAACTTAATATGTACATATATATATAATGTATAACAATAAAATAACAAAGAATAAAGCTACGAGTATCTTAAGTAGTTTTGGTGAATTTTTCTATCTTAGTTGTAAAATCTGTACAGTTCCGGTCTGGGTACTTGACCTTGGACACCTAATGACATAAACAGATTTATTTTTAACGGTGAAAGATATTATATCCAGAGATATGAACACACATCTCCCGACGGTAAAATGACAACCACTCATTGGTGGTTCAACTTTTCCAGGCTATCACGTTCTCCTCCCCTCCCCTCCACCCACCCTCCCGCGAATCGGAGCCCGCCGGCTGTTGTCGTCTGGTTCATGGATCTGCTTCTCTCTGCCACTCTGGTGGCCTCAAGCCGAAGACGACGTCGTTGTCGTTGTCCTCGTCTTCGACGCCAAATGCTGGGAGCATCGTTTGGAGCCATTTCGGTGGCCATAACAATTCTCGTAATACTTCGGGCATCGCCGACTAAACGATAATCGCGCGTAAAAGCGCCACTAAAATCAATACGAGTACTGGCTCCTGCCACAGTCGGGGAGCAGCGCACAGCGAGTGGTTTTCGTTTTCACCTTCGTTGGCTCTGGCTCTGGCGTCTTGCCGTCCTTCTCGCCAAAGCGCAGCCAAAGAAAAGTTGGCTCCGCACAAGTGGGCGGCTATGCACATGCGCTTCTTTTGGACTCCTTTCCCCGGGCCAGTAGTGGCATTGGACATGGCGAACAGCGTCTTAAGGCGAAATGAAGTCAGCTCACACAAATTGAGTGTATTCGGGGTTTATCAGATGCGGATTTATCCATACATACATACACACATGCACATATGTATGAGCCCATGGACACGGACCTTCTTTTGAATGGAGAGGAACTGATGAGGCAGATATGTACCATCGGAAATGGCACACATATTGTTATAGACCTATCAGAGTCTGTCAACAGAGTTCGTCATGTACAGACATTGAGTAGGCTTCAATGCATTCCGCAACTCTGCAGTTAATCAAGTTTCATCTCCGATGGGATCTTTGAATGTCGATTCAATTAGCGAATGCGGCTCATTATGATTCAATTTGAATTCCCTTTGTTCATTCCGTTGTGAGCGCTTACTCGAATAATTAATTTTCCATTTCAGCCAAGGAAATTATACATTTAAATGAACGTCGAGCAGTGCACAAGCGAGCGAGTCACCTTAATAATTAACGATCGAGGAACGTAAGACAGCTCGAGCCGAACATTTTAATCAGCCCCTGGGACTGGCATGGGCACATGGCGGAGTCCTCCATTAATTTATGCCCCAGCGGCATGGCGATCGGTTCGGAGAACCCAGCGGGCCAGGTAAGCGAAATGAGAAATTTATCAAATTTATTGGGGGGAATGAATTGAGATATAATTCAAAGGAATTATAAAGGCCAGGACCAGCCACCAAAATGGAGGCTTAAAAAATAATAAATTACGCAGGAAAAAACACAAAAACCCACAAAAACAAAAGCTGTAGTCCCATCCCTTTTCCAGGCATCTGTCCGCCCGCTCTGCCATTGGCCGCTCTGTCTCTGTCTTTGTCTCGGACTGCTGCCTGCCTCTGGTCAGAAGCAATCGCGGCGGTGGACGTCGACGGCTCACTCGGTCTTGGACTCCGACTACGTCTCTGACTCTGAGGGGCACTCGGGCCTGGCTACCTCACGCTGCGTCCGTAATTAAAAGTCGTAAACTATTTTTACGGTGCCTCATATATTTGCGGCCACGAATTGTCAACCCTGCCATGGGCTGGTCCGACTAGGCTCGATTTGCATGCGGAGCAGAGCTCGTGGGAAGGTACGCGCATCTGGGCATCGAGTCGGGTAACGCTGCGTCCATGGCGACAGGTGAGCAGACGCATTTGTTGGATTAATAGGGGATAAATAATCAGCCAGGCCAGGACTGCAATTGAAATGATCCAAGTGGAAGCCAGCCAGCGAACAGTTATGAGTATATCCATTGAACATGATCGTGCGGGGAAATGGCGACTATCAGGGGCCCGTTTATCTCAATGAGCCGCAGGGTCAGCGACGGGTCTCTGCGTTGGCGTCATTGCAGTGGCTCATTAATTGGACTTAATGGCCGTCTAAATCATGTGACAAAATGCAAATTAATATTTATACACTCAAGTATCCAAGCAAATAGTCGTCCGACGTCGCCGCTCTGGAACTTGATTCCGCTCCCTCGCTTCGATTTCTGCCAGTTTCTGCCCGCCTCGGCCTCGAAGCAGCTTTCAGCGAACACGGCGCATAAATTCATAAATGTGCCACAATTCCCAATGAATTTACATTGTAAAACATAACTTTTAATTACGCGAGCATGGAAAAATGCGCAGAAAACAGAAAGCGACGTGCATGAAGCTAAGTGACCGCCCAAGAGAAGCTAAAGTGAATTAAGATCCTGTAATATCGTTTATAAGTATACGCGGATGCGATCATTTCGCAATCGCAGTAGGAGAGTTTCCAAAACTGTAGGGATCTCCGAATCCGAATAATCAATGGAATACTGAAAATACTGTCCAAGTTGCTCGGCGTGCCAATACCTCTTTGTTCATTTAGGAAATTGTTAAATATAATGCAATTGCGCTTGTTAAAATTAACCAAACTTATAGAAAATTACTTTCCTTTAAAAAACAAGAAAAATCAGTAAGCTGATATGTTACTGCTTACGAGTCTATATATATTCATGATCAGGGTAATATGAAGTGTCGATCGAGGCATGTTCGTCGTTCATCTGTTTCTATTCTAACCATTATCTCAGTTTGTACACAAATTTCTTGCATGTAAAAACAGATGAGACAGATTTAGACTCCTCATAGTTGCAAAAAGGAGGACGGGGAAAATTGTTATTGTTTATTAGCGTTTTTTCATAAGATTTATATTAATAGAGCGACATCATCATATAGCTGCCTAGGTAGAGAAGTATTGATACATACACTGGCTCCATCGCATAATCGGACACTTGTTTACCCAGTACCGAAATGCGATAGAATTGTTGTTCTTTAACTTTTACTATATATTAACTTCATAAAATTATCTATGTAAATCATAAACAAAAATGCATTATGTTTAGTGAGAAGAACAGTTAGTTTTAATCGAAAAACGAAAAAAGTAAAGACATTTTTTGAGACTCAACGCATAATCGGACAGGGCAGAAGTGCCAATGGAAAATCCCGATTTTTCCATAAAAACCCCTAAAAAAAGGTTTTTCTTATCGCATTTGCTGGCTGGTTGCCTGGATATCTGCCTGACACAAAAGCAATGTCTGACGGCTCCCCCAGGGAAGTAACTTGGAAGAAAAAATGTTCGGAAAAGCGCCACGTTGGTTGATAAATGCAAATCTACTGTGCACCATATAAATGTAGGGTCCCGTAATGAGTTTTAAATAAGCCAAAAGAGCATTTGATATTAAGAAAATGATTCAAGATACCTTTCAAACATAAACAAATTCAAATTTACTTGAAAATCGATCGGAAAAAGGGTTTTTTTGCCTAAATAGTGAGCCTAATCCGCCTAATATACCTATGCCTAACCAAAATACCTTATTCGAAAAATGTTGTTGTCTCAGTATGTATTCCGATCGCAATTAGTTTATTGTCATGGCCCTTTTTAAGCTTTTTTCGGGTAAATCTCCCATAGAAATGGTACCTATGCAATGAATTACGCTAAGAATTTAGGAAAATGTCTTATCCAAATCGATTTTGAAGTAAATTTTCATTCCGGAATCATTCTGATTGCTGAATGGAACAAAAAATTAAGGATTTCGTTCCACATCCTATTGAGAAACAGCTTTTGCTTTTTAAATCATGATAAAATGTCCGTTTATCGTATATAGTATATTCATTCCTTAATCGTTTGTGCATACTATATTGCGTAGAGATTAATACATTTAAGATTTATTGGGAGACCATGACTTAATCGTCAGAATCATCGCTGCTGGAATCGATCGTTGGCACATTCCTCTGGTTCATAAAGCCCCCCAGCCTCTGCTGGATCTTGTGGGGCGTCAGACCCTTGGTTTCGGGTAAAAATATGATGCCATATATGCAAACGAGCAGCGAGACTGTGGCCATCAGGAAGAAGACTCCCGGCTTGGCCAGCCTGTGCTCGTGGCCAGAGCCGTACCACATGATCACAGTGAATGCCGTCAGCCAGTTTAAGGTGGCACTCAAGGAGCAACCGAGCGGGCGCATTGGTTTCACGAAGAGCTCCACGTTGATCAGCCAAGTCAGCGGGCCAAGACCAGCCGTGTAGGCGAGCGAGGCCAAGGACATGGAAACCAGGGATGCCCCCGGGACGCTGTTCTCATGGTCGGTTATCAGCTTCAGCTTGAAGCAGATGCCCAGATACAATGTGCAGCAGAAGGTAGCGAGCGAGGTGATGATCAACAGCGGCCGACGCCCGACTAGGTCCACCAGCATAAAGCAGACTAGAAAGCCGAATATCTCGGCCACAGCTAGGGCAGCAGAGCACTCGTAGTTCAAGTGCATGCTGAGCAGGATGTGGATCGAGTAGAAGATCAGCACTGTGGAGCCGCTCAGTGTCTGCATGATGGTCAGCGCCGAGGCCCGGCACAGGCTGCGCCTCGTCTTTTTGCGCTTGAATCCGAGCATAATGTTTTGATGGATCGCCATATCGCTTCTCGTTCCCTCGAGCATCAGCTGCCGCATCTCCCTGCTGGTGTCGTACTTCTTGCCCCGCAGCCAGCGCAAGGACTCATCGGCCGCGGAGAATTTACCGCGCGCCCAGTAGTAGGCGGGCGACTCGGGGATCAGTAGCTGCAGCAGGCAGAGGAGGAGCAGCACCAGATTGGAGATGTTGATGATCCACAGATCCAGGAATGTGCCTATGGCATAGCTGTACATCACGCCCAGCATGAAGGCCCCATGGAAGACGGAGACCAGCGCCCCACGATGACGGATGTGGCTAATCTCGACGGTGTAGGTGGGCACCACTACGCAGAGCGCGCCGCACATTCCCTGCATGAAGCGTCCCACGTAGAGCATGTAAACACTGTTGGCGAAGATCAGCATGCTCCAGCCCAGCCCAATGGGCACCAGCTGCAGCATCATGACCCACTTGCAGCCGTGAGTCTTCATCAGCAGTCCCATCGGAATGCTCCAGGTTGCCGCTCCGATAGTCAGCAGCGCACACACCCACGTCCACTCCTGCTTCGAGGGCGTGAAGCTGTAAGCGTTGTGGTGCATAACCAGCGCCTCAGCCGGGGCCGACCAGCCAATGGCGATGCCGAAGCAAAAGGTCCCGATATTGCTAACTACCGTGGCCAGACACTGCCCCGTATTGTCTTCGCCCGCGGTAATTTCACTGATCATGGACGGTACAGTATGGATAATTGGTCTGATTATGGGCCCCACTGGAGGTGGTGGGTCCCCTGCTGGGTCCAATGCTGGTGGCTGGGACGCTTGAGGCTCTGTTCCACGGGTCTCTGTTTTAGGCGGAGGCTCTGGTTCAGTTTCCGGTTGACCCCAGCACCACCCCAACACCATAATCTCTGCCTCAAATGTCCAAAAATATCTTCTGTGCGCGTGAAATCTTCTCTGGGAAAAATACAGAAAATATGAAGTACAAGAAACTGTGCGGACTTGGAGGTTTTACCTGTTTTATTGTTCGAAGTGCGCCGCAGGGTACAATCATAAAATATAATAATGAACAATACGGTTACGTTTCACTATTAAATACACCATGAAGAGGGGGTTGGGACCGAATAAATACAGATTCGAGGAAGCGATTCGATTTGTTAGTATTGCTCGGAGTAAATAGCAAAATTTTGATGCCCTATACATTAAGTTATTCATTGACACTTGATCAAAATACTACTCATTAACTGAGTGCATCTTTAGCCCCGAACTGTCAGCTGTCACTTGCAAAGATGCAAACTAGAAAGGGCTCGAATCACTGTATCCGGACAGCACAAGAAGTAATTATAAAACTCATTGTAGCCCCTCCTACCGAAAGGGCATCGCCATATCTGCTGAATGGGCAGGGGAGTGTGTGGGCGAACAATATTTACAATATTGCATTTCTAAATCCCTTGCTGCCGGGTAAAGTACCATGGTTGGAGGGGGGAGACAGGGACACCAATTCAGCAATAAACTGGCATCTGCAAATATTTGTTTGCTTTCAGGATCAACAACGGGAGAGCTCACATATACGCTGCCAATGTCCCCCTGCTCTCCTGCTGTATTCCCGTATTCGGTTTTCCGTATTTCGTATTCACATCCGGAGCTGTATTTTGAATTTGTGCGAGTGTCTGTCTGTATGTGTATGTGTATGTGTCCGTGTGTATTGCTGGCAGAGTGCAGATATTTATGCGTATTTGATAGCACTAATGGGCCATTAAATGCGTACGCAAATACACACACGTAACCACCAACACCCACCCACATGTGTGATGTGTGCGTGTATGTGTGTTTGGATGTCTAAACGAGCTTATGTGGGTGCAAGGATGAAAATGTACCTAAGCGAATCTAAATGGCATCGGGGGCACCGAACATGCAAAATCATGTACTCCTAAATCTGCTTAATGCCGGCAGCCTCCGGACACACACAGGGAGACCCGGCCCAACTGAGAACGGGAGCTGAGGCAGGATCAGGTGGCGGGCTGGGGATGGAGCACAGCACAGAGTCCACAGTCCACCATGTCATGGTGGATGCCTGTTTACCCCCGAGAGGAAGTCGAATGTGGATGTGGCTCTGGTCGTCTTTTGGGGTTCGGGGAGTTTCGTAATGGAACTCGATGTGTTCCGGTCCGTGTAGTGTGGGTGTGGGTGCGTGTGTGTGTGTGTATGTGTGGGTGGGTGGGCGTAAGGTACTTTCGAATACGTATTACGCAACTAACGAAAATTAACGTTAATAGCCCTGAGTATCAAAATAATGGCAGTCGCCTGTTGGTTGCCTTCGCTGCCTCTGCCTCTGCCGGTGCAAGGCCGTTTTTGCGGATTGGATGGCTCGTCCTCGGAGCTGGGTCTGTCAGAACACCCCACGACGGTCATATAAATTTCAAAAACTCATTCCGGACTTAGGCAAAACGTGAAAATATTGTTACGACCTCTTGTGCTCTTGTGTCCCTGTGCTCCATCGCTCCCCTCCGTTTATGTGCAGTGAGATTCGCTCCTTTTCCTTGAAACATATCCCGGCCATCGAACTAAATTAGATTTTAGTCGCAAAATTACGATACTCGAGTAGTTAATTGAGAAAAGTGAAGCAGCGATTTTTAATGATGTTGTCGCTGCTGTTGTTGGCGGGGGGAGAGCAGAGCTGTGCTGTCGTTTGGAACCGGGTTTCCTCTGGAGAAAACTCATATGAAATTGTAAATGATGGGGTAGTAGAACCTTATCTCGAAATATTCTAGTAAAAATAAATGTCTGTTAATATTTACCTAAGTTAATCAATTCGTTAATATCTCTTATCTGAGTCTCTCATTAAAAATATCCAAATAATATCTTGTCATTCCAGTCCTCGGCGCATCTTCAAGCTTCATTTGCAGATTGATAGAAACGGGCTGTTAGATGGTCATAGATGTATATTTATTTTAACTATTATTATAGTGTATACTAAATTTTTTTTTTGAAATTTAAATATATTTTAATATAATTTTCCATCAAAATAAAAACTAATAATTAAACACAATTACGCCTTGACTTATATTTTTAAGTGGAATTTTAGTTGTTTAAACTAAACTAAGGTACGTGAACATTGTGATGGAATATCAAACCACCACAACATCATATTATTGAATCTAAATTGCTTTCCTTGCTCCTTTCCTTGTACCTTAAGAATCGGTCTTGAAGAGTTTATTCGCAGCATTTTCTTCCTTCAAAATGGAAGAAATTACAATAGTATATACACACATGCATATGTACGTATGTATGTAGGGAGCGCTGTTCAGTTTTCAACAAAATTGAAATTTCGAACCATCCGAAAACCCCCACCCACCACGCAAAGGGGGTGGAAGAAGGTCGGCACAGAATTTTGTGAACTGTACGAGTATGTGCGTGTATCATTAATTTTTATTGGAGAGCTTTCGAGACCCCCTTCGCATTGAAATCGAATGAAATTCAGTTGTTGGTGGGTTGCTTGTTGCTGGGGCTCATATCCGTGTGGGCTGAGTGTGCCCGGGGATTGGGCTGCCTGGCTGCCTGGCTGGCGGGGACGACAAAAACGCAATAAGCAGTTAAAAAATACTCGTAATTGCAACGGGGCCAAAGCCCCTCGAGACTGCCATGGTGCATGCCCCATATGAGTTGTTATTGTTGCTGTTTCTGTTGTTGATGCTGCTGCTGGTGTGGAACGTGCGCATCGACTCGATTCCGATTCAGACCTTCCCTTCCCTCCAGCGGAGGACAACAGCAGGATGATACTCAGTGGACTCGTTCCGGCAGAAATTCATGAATAAGAAGATGGAATTGCTCTCAGAGCAGCCTGTCCTTGCAGCAATTTTCAAAGATATCGAAGAAGAACTTTTCCTTTTAAAGTTGAGTCACCAAATTGGAAATTTAAGGAGTGCACAAATTAATATTGTGGCCCATTAAATTCGGCTTTTTGTTCAGGATACACTCGAACCATTTCAGTAATTTCTGAAAAGCGAACCTTCAATAGAACTACTCCAATTTGAAATATTCTCCCTGCCATACATTCTCTACAGAATCCTTGTATTCGCGCTTTTAGTAGTGGGTTCATTAATGTATGAATATGTATGTATATTGTACTCCAAGTAATATTCAATTAGTTAATTTTTTTAAATCTATTTCCTCAGTTACAAACTTTAGGAATTATTTTCGCTTTCCTCTGAATACTATTGCAGCACACTCGCTATTCGACCATCTCCCATTCGGATTCATTCCCATCCGCTGCTCCCCTGCGCTTTCTAGTTTTCCTTTTGTCCGTTCGTTATGGCCGTAATGTAGTTGGCTCCGTGCACGGGGCTGGGCTTCTCTTCTGTTTTGTTTTCTTCTGTTCTGTTGTTGGTGCTCTTGCGGCCCTTGTTGTTGTAGTTATAATGGCTAGTGGCATTCTGGACGCTGGGAGCGGCAAAAATGTTTCACAAATGGGTTCATATTTTGACGTTTAATGTAGCGAAAATGAAGCTGGGATTTATGAAATGTGCACGTTGCCCTCGCGGACCGTCGTCGTCGTCGACTTCGTCATCGCCTCCCAGTCTCGGAGTCCTTCGCCCTTGCCCTTGGTGGCCAGCGGCTTATATCAAAATGGAGAGCGCAAATCAAGAATCAATTGCATTATTAGAAGCAGTTCGGAATCGCTGGGGCGTGAAAGGGAAAGTCTGGGATGTCAGTGTCTACAGAGGTCGGGCGAGACACAGGCACAGGATTCTTAAAGAATGAAAATTTCCCATATTTTGCGTCAAGCTCGTGACCTGCCACCGGTGTCCTTTATGGCCAATAGCAATGATGAAAACGCCATCCGATGCGGACCGAAGTTTGCCTAAATATTGCTAATCGACTGCCACGGGCACTTGAGGCCAGCAGTTACCAGGCGCCCCCCATCTGGGCCGCCAGGGACCCTGCCGCACGCCAGGGATCAAGTAAATTGCGAAAACTATGTGCAAGATGGCCTGTTATTGCAGCAGAAGCGCTTGTAATGATGACTCTAAGTGTCGTTTCCCTAAGTGTATTACCTATAAAAAATTTATACAAACATGCTGCTGAATTACACGCCCCGAGCTCGTTCGCTTTCCGTTTCCCATTCCCATTCCCACTAACCTGAGGGGAGAACGAGTCCCAGAACCAAGAGTCTGAACCGACAGAAAGAAACCTCAGCCTCATCTGCCCTGTCCTGTCCTGTCCTGTGCTGTCTGCGATAAGCAAGGTGAGGCCCAAACGTCTCGGCGATAAAATGCAACATTAAGCTGCTGATTTTTCCTCCCCTTTTGCGGACCAGGGGGACCTGTATCCAGGCCTCGAGTGGCAGCAGTTCATTAGGGTAACATTTGAACGGCGATTGCAATTGGGTACGAAAAGGTTATTGAACGTCTTCGGGGTGTCTCTAGCTGTGAAGCAGAACAGGAATAACGATGGATAAATATTAATTAAGTCATTATGCATGCAAATGCCGCAAATAAATTCCTTAGATGCAGAGCCATAAACTGTTATTTGTTTCTATTTTTAGAAATCAGTATTCATTTAAAAATCATGCGAAATTTGATAAAAAAAAAGTTTGCAGAAGTTTTTTGGGGCCTTTGTTTAAAAGATATTATCCATTTCCCCATCCTTTTTACAAAATCAAACTACTTATGTATATATGTATATTCTCCAACAACAACTCGCTGCTCATGCTGCTAATTTAGCGTATGAACCAAGATGTTGATTTGGCTAAATGGAACTTTTACTCGTGCGAGTAACTCACGCACTTAAAATTGCTGATATTCATATACTTGTAAAGTTAGATCGAGTGAAGTCGTTAACTGCTTACATTTCAACAACATTCTCAAGGTCTTGAGGTATCTTTCTAAAAAAAGGGAATCTAATATGCAGATCCATTTATTTAATTGCAATTCCAATTAAAGTAATAAATATCTTTGTTAAAAGAAGAAATTAAAACCGCTTTTGAAACTGCGAAAGAGAGGGACATAAATAAACTAACGAACTGGTTCCCCGACATCCGGCTGTATCCTGCTGGGTGCCCCGTGCTGCCGGTACTTCTCGGCAAAGCCCGTCTCTCCCATGGCGCTCGTAGTTTATGCTTACGAAGAAATTAAAATAAACGCCAAAACGAGATTTATTCAATGTGTGTATTAAGCTACGCTGTCCGGACAGGACAACGGCCACGAAAAGCC